TAGAGAAAATCGCTGGTATACGACCAGACACGCGATCGTATCTGACGCGTACGTAATGAGTATAAAAATCTGGAGATTATCGATCCTCTATAGCGTTATTGTTCGATCTTGAGAAGTTGGACCCGAGAAACGTCTCGTCTCGTTTGTGCCTGTACGTACAACGAAATCACGTGTAATAGAAAAACGAATGACAAGACGTTGGTGTCGGTGTCCATTCTTCCTTGGTACACACATCGATCGGGAAAAACATGGCCGCGGGTCCGTCTTTCTTTCATGGTCGACAAGATTATTTATCCGATTACATCGTCTTTATATCGTTTGGCGCTAAGCGGACACGTGGTTCGGCACGTTCGAGGATGACGTGGTTTGCAACGGTGACCGTGACTGATGGAACCTGAGCAGCTCCGAGACCGTGACAGCCACACGTACCACTCCTCGACCTCCTTCCAGCACGTCGCTGGCGCAGCACACGAGATTCTGAAAATGACAAGCAATAAGCGTGCGATCATCATTAATCCGTTCATCCGTGAAAAATTACATTTATATAAATCGAAAACTAAAAGGCCATTCACCGGTTATATGCATAGGAAAAAGTTGCTCAAAATGTTGTCCTTAATATCAATACTTCAAGCTTGATTGAAATCGGCGAGAAGGTGAGCGTTTCGTCGGCAGAGATGATAATGTACAGGGTGGTACACGACCGCTCGTCATCGTGGTGGAACAATTATATCAAAAGAATATTTTATTATCAGTGGAAATAGTATTACAATCGTTATGGTAGTCGTACAATCGGTGTTACAGAGTACGTCTCTCTCGAGTGAAAAATCGAATATCATAGTAGCAATGTTATTCGATCAGGTGAGAAAAAGAGCTTCCCAACGATTGTTCTCCGGGACGCGAGATTATAGAACGTAGGAACGCAAAGAGATGCGCGACTCGGAATTTTTCTTTTTTTTTTTNTTCTCAAAGGAATCGAATTTGTACGAGTTCGCGCGTTTCATTCTTTCTTTCACG